TTGAAAACATGTTAAACAGCTTTCAACCCACTCTATCTTCTATAACATATTTTTGTAATAGACTGGACACTGAAATCACGAATTTAGGAAACCCTACAAAACATAATAATGACTTGTGGCAGAAACACTAATTCTCCTTGTTCCAAGGAGCTATAACATTAATTTGCTTTTCTTTGAAACCCCAGTACTATCAGTTCCTCTACTGATTTTTGACTATCTGCTGTGCTGCGCAGATTTTTCTTTTGATATGTACTGTGTTCTGTTCCTGTGGGCTGGTATATAAATAGCGTTTGATTCTAAGCACTTTTCATGAATAGTGTTGCAAGCTACATTTGAGCTGTTCCTAACCATTACTGTACATAAAGTCTTGAGGCAATCAGATGGTGTGGTAGTTAAGGCTGAAAGAAAGTATTAGGGGAGGAGATTAAAAGGTTGGAATCCTTAGGAAATCACTTAAAACATGCATCTGTTACCTGTGCATTAGTTCTGGCAGTGTAAGCTTATTGTAAGTGTATTCATAGCAACATTTTTCAGCTTGCCTGAATTAATGCTTGTTAACACAGGGAAGGATTAATCTTTTATTATGTTATTAATGTGTTAAATTTGTTCTTGATTGTTGAAATGTCCAGTGAGGAATTAAAAATGACCAGTCATCAGGTGGAAAGCACAGCGAGGGAGACAGTGATGAGCAGAGAAGATCTCTTTAGATATGTGGCTTTACTTGTTTTTTTGGCAAAAGAAAGGACCTTGAGCTGAATGAAGAAGCAAAGCGAGACTTTTAAGCTATGCCCTAGGGGAATGATTTTGTGTTTGTCTCTGGTGTGACCGGTCACTTTTCACCGTGCCTTGCCATCATTCACTGAATTGGATCATGCTGCCTGTCCACAGCGGATTTGTTTTATGGATGCCTTGGAGTTTGTGTCAGCAGACAGCAAGCAGCCTGCTGTGGTCCCTCAATGCTGCACTGGAAAGCAGCTGGACAGACAGACAGGCATCCTGGAAGGTTTTAGTGGTGCAGGAAATACATTGCCAGCAGCTCTCAGGAGAGCAGCAGAGTGCAGGTGTTTTGCTGCAGGATGATTCCAGCTGGCCATTCAGTGTGAAGGGAGATCAAGGATAATGGATAAGGAAGAGGCAGCCAGAAGATGAAGAGCAAGCCCCTAAATGGAGGAACAGAAGCAGTCACCTACTTCTATGGCAACTAATTTAATGCCTCAGCCCAGAAAGCAGTTATCTCACAAGGTCTGAACTGAGCCCTGTTTTGTTCTGAAAAATGGGTGCTTGTCTCCATGGAGCAGTTAAGGGTGGTTCTGAACAAATGGGAACAGGAATTGTTGTAAGTTTCCTCGATATCCTGCCCCTTTACAGATCAGCTGCAATGTCAAGCGATGGCATCTCAATCCATGCTCCCAGCCTCCTTGCTTCTTTGATAATGCCAGCTGATACACTGTTTTTCCCCTGTTACAAAAGCCTCTTTCCTCAGGATTTTTTGATTCACTTTTAGCTGAGCAATGAAAGCACAATAGTCTTCCTTGAGCTAAAACCATGCAGAACAGCTTTATCCCATTACATACATGTAGAACTTTAAGATTAGAGACACTGAACTCAGCTGGAGTTTTTCCAAGGGTTCCTGTCACTTCAGCCCTTTTAGGTTCTTTCTCATCCTGTCTTCAGCTATACTCTAGCCCTTGTATTTGATTGCTTTCCTTCCAAATCAGGCTGATATTAGCAAATATATTTTTGATTAATTATGTTTACATTTTATTTCTTCCTAGAGTGTTTCAAATCACTGCCTGGCATGGGCTTCCAGTTACCCCAAAACAAGCTCAGCAGTGTAGAATTTAATGCCTTCCTCATGCAGGGGCATGGTGGTGATGTTGTTGATCATTATCACTGAACTGTCCTGGCCTCCTGGTTGATGCTCACTGTTTTCCACATTTGTTTGTCTTTAGCTCATTATGCTCTTCATTTTAAGACAAGCTCAAAAACTCAGTAGGACATCTTAATCCTCTGAAGAGGAACTAAAAATATATACAGATTGCTAAAAAAAAATCTTAATTTCATATAACACGTTATTGAATGTTACTTGCTTTCAAAATTTTTGTGTGCTAAAATAAAACCCCATCACTCGTCCTTGAGCATGCTGGCTTATTTTTCTCTCTGCATCATACTTGTCACTTCTTCTGCTACAGTCAGTAGTCCTTATGAGCGTTCCTTTGTTGGTGAAATGTTCCCTCCAAGATCCGTTATATGAGTGTCCTCCAAAGAAAACCTTAAACCTGTCTTGAAGCTTGTATGATGTTAAAAGAACGCTGTATTAACAATTACAAAAATAAATAAATAAATAAATAAAAGATCATCATTGCTAGAATCAGTCAAATTTTGTAAATTAACTTAGAAGCTGTCTTTCAGCTCCTCTGAACTCTTATACAGCTTTTCCCTCTTTAAGAGGCTTGGAGGATAGGGAAAGGACAATATAGAAGAAAAAAAAAACAAACAAGCTTGTTCTTGACACTGCCCAAGGCACCTCATAAATCTGACAAGTTACTCAGCTGCCCTGTGTTCAATATCACCATCTTTAAAATAGAGGCAGAGGATATCGGTGATGTATTTTGAGATAGTTTGCCCTTGATATAGACTAAACGTGGAACCATAGCCCCAGCCACCCCAGAGGCTCCCCCTAGGAGAAGTGGAATTGAACAGACCTGGCAGCTGAGTACACCTCTACACCAACACGAGGGTGAGTGCAGCAGTGCTGCCCTGTGCTGTGGTCAGACTTTTTAAGCTTTCCATGAAAGCATCCCTGCTTTGCAGCCTGCTGCTAAGGGTGAGTGTGACTGTGAAGTCAGCAGACCCAGGAGCATGCCACATTCCCAGTACCTCCTGAGATCGAATTTTAGACACAACGCAGTTAGAAGCAGTAAAAAACCAACCCATTGCTTATAAAATGTGTCATAAGATGAGAACTGATAATTCTTATCTATTATCAGGTAACTTGTCATAAGCCATAAATAGTCCCCTAACAGCCTCAGTAAGAGGAACGTTTTTTAAGTCTGTATCTTGCATTTTTAGGATACATTCTTCAAGAAGAGGATACATAGAACAGAAGATAATGTGCAATTACATACAAATTCATTGTGGACAAATGAAGTAAATCACCTCCTCATTAAAAGATTCTGTAAATTTCATATATAAGCACTGCCCCCTACTGCTCAAGGGATTTTCATAAATGTGTATTTAATTAAAAATGTTCCAACAACAGAATGTTTAATTAAAATATTTGTATAGGCTTGCCTGTAAGAAAAGGACATCTTCTTATAAGAAAGTTCCCAATTTATCATTTTATGAGCATAAAACACTTGTGCTCTTATGTTAACAGAAGCAATTTGTTTTCTCAAATACATAGTTTAGAATAAGATGCATGCATCTTCTCAGGCAGAAAGTTAGTAGAGACAACCACATTTCCAAGTAACTGCACCTCTCAAGACTGACCTTAAAGTCCTTGCTTCTGAATTATGACCACAGGAAAGTGAAGGAATAGAAAGATTTCAAGTTGTAAAGATGTGATGGTAGCAAAGGAATTAGTGTTTATCCCCAACATAAGGGCAACGTGATCTATTCAAGCACTCTTCAGTAAATTCTTGTTGCTATTGTCTTTTATTTTATGGTACATTTTCTTGGAAATTGTAAGGTGCAAAGCATGTATGTGTGAGTGCAAGGTGAAGAAGATAGAGTGATGCTATTGTAGTCACAGCATTACTGCAAGCACTTTGTGAGCTGCTGTCACGCCCCTGTGTGACATCGTGGCATATTTGATGCATGTCATAACTTAACATCTGACAGTCTCCTTTTAAAATATGATTATGTTTGTCTCTATTGTATGAAATGGAAATTAAAGAAGAAATCGTAATTGCACACAACATCAGCAGTTTAGGAAAATCACTAGTCCTACTGAGAACCCTTTTACTTCCAGCAGTGATCAATGTTCCCAAGGCTCCCACACTTTTCTGGCATGGCACAGATCAGTGTCAGCTGCTGTGGTTTGAAAGCAACTCCCCCAGAGGATTGCAATGCACTAGTGGTGTTTGGACCTGACTCAGCTGATAATGAAATTCCTCTGTTTCAGTGGGGCTTTAGAAAACTGTCTTAACATGGCTAGACATTTGCTATAGAGGTAATTTGTGTCCATTTAGACTCCATTACATTGTCAGGGCCCAAAGAGATTTCAGTGGACATCAGAATCAGACTAACTAATCCTTAGACCACACTTCTGAGGTAGACGATGCAGTAATACTTATTTGAGGGACAGGGAAACTGAGGCACAGTCTTTGGCAGCCTGAGTCTTCCAAGTCTCTAAGCAGCTCCTTCACTCAATTGCCTATTGGAACTATTGGAAGGCTGCTTTAATACCTGCAAAAGCAGGAACATGCTGAAGGCAGCTGTACTTGAGATGTATGATAGAGCCATCCAAGCACAAAGCCTTTTAGCACCACACTATCATAGTCACTGCTATTATTACCATGTGTACATTTTAGTGATTATCTGTACATCTGCAGGAGTGCTAAAACAGGTTCTGTTTCTTCATAAGCATGGTGCTTAAGTCACAGCTGCTAACTGGAAAAAAAAAAAAAAGCCATATAAAAAGGACAAAAAAGTGATTTCCCTAGGAGATGGCAGAGCAGAAGGGCTGGGTGTTCTTATGAAGTCCTGCTCAGTCTCTATATCTAGTGGCAAAAACACTGCAGCAAAACAGGAGGAGTGCAATTATTACCTTAAGTCAAGATGCCACATCTAGTATTATGCTAGATTTTAACCATTTTTTTTTACTTGTTTTTTAGGCTCAAGCAGTTATTTTCTGGAAAAACCTCAGGATCAACTTCATATCCTCACTAGCTGACTTGCATTGAGAAAATTTGGGTTATTAGGCTGAGAGATAATTTCAATGCAAACCCAACCAATCAGGGAAAAAGATGCTTTAGAAATGGCCACTGTGCCAGGCAGCACCACTAGCCTTGTGTGAGGGCTTCTGCTTGCTTGGAGAAAGGTCTCTGTGGTGTGGAGGAGAGGAGAGGAGAGGAGAGTATTGCCTGAAACTTAGGTTGGGAGGGCTTTAGTTATTGGAAGTTGTTTGTAATTTACTTCAGGTAAGCAAGGTGTGTGTTTTTTTTTGCTTTTGTTTCCCTAATTGTAGAGAATTGTTGATGTTAGCTGTAATGTGGCTTTGAAAGTACATTGCTAAGTAGGTGTAAGCAGATAGTGAGAGAGCGTTATCTTTTATTTGTGCTATAGCTATTTAATATATTGAGTAGGTGTGGAGTGTTGTTATTAGCTATTTATATGCTTTGTAGAAGATTTAATGCCTTTAAAGTAGGCAAACCATAGCAGTTTTTTTTTTTTTTTTCTGTAAGCTAAAACTAAACATATGTTTCTTCTTCCTGTGTCACATCTTTTTTAAAAAAAAAAATCAGCTGGTAAGCTTTTGGGTGGAGTATCTCTCTTTTCCTTTGATTGTGAAGCTTGTTCAATGCTCTATTCTGTTAGTCATCTTCTGGGGGGTGATCAGTTTGATTCTGTTATGTGAGTGTATGACCCCTCAAAGTGTGTCTACAAGCCATGTAGAAAGTGTTCAAAGCAGTAGCTGAGCTGCAGTCTAAGTTTTGCAGGGGATGGCCCTTCCCTTAGGTAGGATGGGGACTTAGATAACTGGACATTTGTTAACTTTAATTTCCCCTTGTATAGAACTAGCACAGGCAGAAAGTGTCTTATCTTTCCTTGAGTTAAGGTTGCCTTTCTTTATCAATTGAACTTAATTATTTTGGGCTGTTTCCTGGAGAGTACTCTGTAACAGGGATATTTCTCTGTTATGTTTATTTGGCATAATAAGGTTATGAGTAGCCTGGTACTGTGAATTGGACGTGATCTCTGTGTTTGCTTGGCTGTAGCTGTTTTCTGCCCTGTCTCTTTTTTATGAGCAAAAATGCAGCCTGTTTAATGCTAGCTTGAAGGCTGAGCAAAATGATTGGGATTTATCTCACAGATCTGAGGCTGAAAGCTGGATTGGCTCTGCAAGAGGTAGCATAGGTTTTGCTCTCCTCCTTTACTATCTGTTCCCACAAGCATCTCTCCGGTAAACTGGCAGAGGGGATCAGAAAGTGCAGGTCTCCTCCCTTCAGGCACGCTAGCAAGGACTCAGCAAAGTACACAAACACCGGATCTGCGATTAGGCTGCAATTCTGAAACAAGCTCAGTGTTGTCGAGAGCACGAGATTTCCAGAATATGCGTGGGGATGAGCAGGGGGGATGTAGGACAAATAATGCAGGGTGAGTGCTGTCTGACCCTGGGAAGCCAGCTGACTGCTCTGGATTATCTCATTCTCTTTCAGAACGAGGGCATGGCGGACACAGTACCAGCAGAGGCTTCTCTCAGGACTGCTCACTTCCAGCTCTTCAATTCCAGCATGAGGGACGAAGCAAGAAGACTGAGGACCTTTTCCCAGTGGCCAGACAGCTCACCGGTGCCTGCCTTGGATTTGGCCGAGGCTGGGTTTTATTTTGTGGGTCCGGGAGACCACGTACAGTGCTTCTGTTGTGGTGGTATCCTGAAGGATTGGAAAGCTGGCGATTGCCCGATGGTGGAGCACCTGAAGTTCTTCCCTTTCTGTGAATTTGTTTACCATGAGACTGCGCAGAACCAGCAACAGCTTCCTCTCCAGGGAATATTTGACTGTGTGGATGGGCAGTTCCTCAGCCTCCTGCAGTGGATGGACATTGAGGAGGTAGCCCTGCCCGATCCGCCAGCACACCCAGAAATGGGGACAGAGGAGATGAGGCTGTCAACATTTCAGAACTGGCCGCAAAGTAGTGAGATGCGTCCCGAGCAGCTGGCTAGAGCAGGATATTTTTACACAGGTAGGAACACCTAAGAAAGTCTCTTTCCATCTGTGTAATGTTGTGAAAATATGTTAGTGTATGGGTTCCTGGGAACCCATAGCTAAATCTGAATTTACTGTACCAAATGCTGGAGGAAATGCAGAAGCAGAAGACTTGGCTAGAGAGAGGAGTTGACCATGCCTTGTGCAAGTTTTGCTTACCTGAATCATTCTGAAGAGCGAACAACAAAAGCTCTGCAGGGGCTGTAACCGAGTACTTGAGATTGCTGGGTAACAGCACAGTGTGAGTGTTTTATCCACGCTGCACATCAACCTAACACACTTTGCCAAAGCCCTCAAAGAAGCATGCTGTCCTCTGCAAGTGTGGTCCCCTGTAAAGCAGAATCAGTTGCATTTCTACCTTGCTGTCACACGATATCTTCATGAATGTGCTGCTGATTTGGGATCCTGCAGCACTTTAAGATGCCTGCCTGGCTGTTGGTGCTGCTTCCTTAGATGCTGCTCACAGCTGTATGCTGAAGTATTTACCAGCACTTTGGTGGTGAAATGTTTCTGGCTCTGTTCTGGTGATATGAACGTGTATGTCAGCTGGTATCCTTACACCAGATTGTAGCTCCTAGAAACGGAAGCAAACTTGATGATTAGCACCTTTTTCAGCTGAAGCTCTACTTTGAAATCTGTAGTGTTTTTTAAAACTCTTATTCAAGGTAGTTTTTGAAGATGTGTTTAATGTTATTGCTCGCCCAGATACTTGCAAGTACACTTGGTATGGTTAGAAACCACATCCTTCCTTCTGCATGTGCTGCTTTATGTACTGCTTGGGCAGAAGACCCTTGTATGCTGAACTCTGGTTTTGGGTACTGATGCATCCACTAGTAAGTCTGCCTTTCCCCTTACTGACGGGAATGGAAGCATGATGTGTTTTAAGCATATATTTTACTGGAATTAGTGGGTGTTGAACCTATTTATTGCTTGCACTTTTAGAAGGGTTTGAGGCACTTCCTTTGTATGCCATGTTTCGTGTAAGCCCAGTCTTGCACCTCAGCCTTCTCAAAAACCCAACTCAAGGAAATTTATAGGTAGGTAACCCATTTGTGGCTCATGTTCATAAGGAATAAGGACACTGGACTTGTATTACCAAACTAGAAAAGATGCTTTTTTGAGCAAAATATGTAATGTTTCTTGTCATCATATAAATATATGGTGGTTCCTCCTTGAAAGCTTTGCTGAATAGGTATCAAGTCAGAGTAAGCGTGAATCCAGCTTCCTGGATTGAGCAGTTGGAGGAAATCCTTCTAGTATAATCATGATTGACTGTAATTAAATATTGTGGGTGGGAAATCCTTTTTTTGTGATATAATGTAGTGATAATTGTGTTAGAAATGTTCCTTCTTCCATGTGATGAAGGGATCTATGGGCTTCATATCTGCACATCAGTAACCGAGATGTGGAAGGAAGTGGCAGTCTGTGTCTACAGACTAAAGTTCCCTCTTTGAGAAAAATCCTGGGTATCACGAAAGTCTCCTGCTCTCATCATTGCAGTAAAACTGACTTGCCTCTTTCTCCATCTGAGTACTATTTCTTAGCAAGGCTGCCCTTTCCTTTCATCTCTAAATGTTGTGATTGCTGCATCTCAAATCTGCACCTGTGGTGTGCACGTAGGAAGGTCTGTCTAAATAACTGACCTGCTCCTCTTAGCTTGAGTTAAATAAGTTTGTTTGCTAATGGCTTTCTACTTCTGTAAGACTTTCGCTGAAGCTTTGTAACCTCAATCTTGTGGTAAATGCAGTTAAATACTAAAAATCTGCACCTGTCTGCTCACAGCAGTGAGCAGCGTGTCTGTAGCAGAAGAGCATCGGCTACTTCAGTTTACCTGCTGCTGTTTCTGTCCTTATTACATTTCAAGGAACAGAGAAGACCAGCTTGGCCAGGAGCACAGGATAAACTGTAAAGCACTGTCTGTAGCTAAAAGGTGCCTTGTGCTGGACTTGATTTCTCAGGTGAGCCACAAAGGCTCACCTGGGGACTGTTAGGATGCAGCCTGTGATGGCAATCCTCTGCCACTTAAGCTGGAGAGCAGTGGAACCAAATGTTCAAATTAAGCCAAATGGTGCCCTGATGTTCAGAAGATTATGTCTCTGACCCAAATTTACTGAAATTGTTCAGGCTGCACTGAAACTTCCATCATCCTTAGGGCAGTGCAGTTCTCAGCTGCACTTGGCTTTGATTTCTCTGATCAGATTGTGAAGAGACCTGCAGTAGCAAGGTGGGGAGCTCAGGACCATATTGCCATAAAACTTTCTGCCTGTGGGATAGCAGCTGTGTGTGTTGTCTGCTGGTTCTGGCAGATCATGGTTAGAAATGGTGTGTTTATAGGTATAACTGCTTATAGCTGTGCTCTAAATGTAGGTGTGTGTGCACATGAACTAGGTGATCACATGTGGGCTGTTAGCTTGTGACCCAGCTCTGGAATCATCTCAGCCAGCTGCAGCTCTGGGATTTCTGACTGTCTTTGGATTTCCTGCCTCTAAACAACTTGTACAATGCTGATAAATTTGTCATGTGCTCAACTGGTCTGTCCTGGAGTCTGGGGTTTGTGCTGAATCTCTCCCCAGCTTCTCATCTAGGGCTAGGGGAGCATCAGGTGATGTGAGATCTCATACACTGTTTGATGTCTCTTTCAGGCCAAGGGGATATGGTGAGGTGTTATTACTGTAATGGAAGTGTGAGGAACTGGGCTGTTGGAGATGACCCGTGGAGGGAACATGCCAGATGGAATCCAAGGTAACTTGGTCTTGGCTGACAAATCTGTCTTGTAGCAAGGCCAAAAGGCACATTGTGTGTTGTAGTGTGTGTTTTTCTTATTCCATGAGACAAAAGTACCACCAGCTGAGGGACAAGGCAGTCAGACACAGGTGTACAAGTAAAGGGTGCTGCTTCCAGGCCCTGTTATAGCTTAGTTTCTAGGTTTTTCTACCTGGCTACAGCCAGGTGGGAAGCTAGTTGAGTAAATTCTGTTATGTTTAACTGCATAAGCTGTTGCTATAGTCTGTAACTATCTCAAAGTCTCTGAAATGTTGAGAGGTTCCAAATCCTTAAGGCTAAAGTTCCAGGGTAAGGGAAAATCTTCAGGTTTTAGTAGTGGGCCGAGACAGAAAATTTGTTTGTAGGTCTGCCACTTAGTCTGTGTTATTCTCTTCACCTGTGGGAGAACCAAAGGTTGGCCTGACAACTTAATCATGTCTCCTCACCTGCTGACTCTCCTATTTCTCCCATTCTGCCCTAAAATGTAGTGTGTGTGTGTTTGGAGTCTCTCTCCATGTGTTGTCTTAAAGCCAGCTCTTGAGATACCCTGTACTAATGTATTTAAAACTTTCTGCTTACAGGTGTGAATTTCTGTTGGGGTCGAGGGGGAGAGAATTTGTTAACAGTGTTCAGGAGTCCTTTGCCAGCTCTCGCCCTCCAGTGAGTCATGAATATTTTGTGTGTAGTGAATGGGAGTTTGTTAGCTGAAGTCTGGTGTATGTGCTGCTCTTCTGTGACCATCCTGTGATGTTTTCAGGGACATTCCAGGGATCAGACTGAACAAGACTCTTCTGCTTCCCAAGGTTGGTGCTGTAATTACATGGAGTCTTGTCTTCTGTCAAAAGTGGTGTTTGTTCTTCCACCTCACCCCAGCTTCTGTGCACTCTGTAGACTTGGTGTTTTTGAGAGGTGTTTTGATGTTCTAGAAGCAGTTTCTCTTTATTCTTAGGAAATGGTCTCTAGCACAAGAAGCAAATGTACTTGCTCTTGAGACCTTTTATACTGGTTAAGACAAAACATATTCAGCTAGTCTGGATGATGATGTGACTTTTGGCTGCTTGCCTAACCCTGCCCAGACTTGTTGGTGCTCTGATGGTTCTGTTTCTGTCTGTGGAGTTGTTCAGACTGCTGTGTTTGAAGTGTATTCAGTAGACCAGAGAACAGCTAGAAGGTCCGAGCTTGGTTCTGGGGATCTATTACCATCTGTTATTTGCTGCTGAAAACTTAAGTAGGTGAAATTTGGCTTGTGTAACTGTGGAAAACTGATTTCCTCATGCTCTTGAAGAGCCTGTCCACTAGGTGAGCTTAAGAAAGATTTATGCCTTTGAACAGGCTGCCAGCTGAATTTCCCACTTAGTGTTAACTGATGAATGGTTGAGCTAGATCATGAGGTGAGAGAGGATTCAATTTGAGTGTTCTTGATCTTCATGAAAGCAGTTCTGAGGCTTCTGTTCTGGGATATGAAAACAAGATTCTGGACTAGGGCCAGACATAGAGACTTTATTCACTGGCACTGTCCAATAAAACACCTGAAGTTAGTCTCCTGGCTCTCATGGAATTGCTTTCAATGACTTTCTTGTGAGTTATCGTTGGAAGTAAAAGCTGTAAATCTTGATGTTGGTCTGCCTAAATAGATAACTTGAGGAATGTTATGAAATTAATGCCACTTCATATATAAATGACTTCAGAGAGCGGCATACTCTTTGCCCTGTTAACCTCCCCTGCTTTTTTTGGTGAAGTATCTGCTCACTGCTTTACAGATCTTCTAAGGAACTGGAGGTCGCTGTCTCTTCCTTCTGTGGATCAGTTTTCTGTAGCACACAATGTCCTGGAGATGGGCTTTGACCCACTCCGGGTGCTTAGCCTGGTAGACAACAAGTACGTGCTGACTGGGACTGAATACCTGTCTGAGTCTGAACTGATTTCTGATCTGCTCCAGCTAGACTGGGAAGAGAACAGTGTGGAGGAAAGCAGAGGTATGCCTGATCTGCCCACCCATGCTCTTGGTGGAAGTTTAACCTCTCGTTCACTTGATCTTGAGCACTGTTGGGACTGTCCTGAGGGTCTGCCTCCTCTCTTCCTAGGCTGGAATTAACAGCAGTCATGCACCTAAGCCTGAAGAGGCTGAAGAATAAGGGGCTGTGATTACTGTAGTATCAGTAACTGCACCTCTCCAGTAGGCTGTGGTGTAGCAGACAGTATTGAAGCTGTCTGCCCGTAACTGGAGTAGCAGATGAACATTGTAGGGTTTCTGCACAAATTCACATCAGTTGATGCAGATGCGTGGAAGAGGCAGTGGTGTGAAGCAAGGCTTTTAGGATGAATGTGTACTCTAAGCCTATTTGAAATCCAATCAAGGACTTCATCAAAAATACCCATAGTTCTGTTTGGATAACATGTTTTACTTACGTCTGTCTTGTGTTACTTGTCTTATGGAGTCTCTGTGATAAGTGAAGTTTATCTAAGATGTAGTTTCCCATAGACTTTTTCTGGTACAAGCCTACTTTCCAAAGCTCCTGTCTCTGTATCAGCTGGCCACCCCTTTAGCTAAAGCAAAAAATAAAATGACTCTCTCAGAGGTGGGTGATTAAATAGTGAGTGAGCAGGTGCTGACTCCTGCTGTCTGATAGATAAATCACCTCTGAGGAGAGAATTTGATGTGGACATATGTTAACCTCCTTACAAAAATACAGTGCCATAAGCACCAGAAAGCATTGGCTTGACCAGGCTGAGTGCATGAGGTTAACAGTTCTGTAAACAAGTGCTTGACTGAGTGGCACTGACATCAAGGACGTTACATCTCTTTCAACAGTGCCCTCTGAAGAGGGAAGGAAGGGGTAGCATTTTAATGCCATCTTCTCTCCTGGTTATACAGATGCTGAAACCTCACGGTCAAGAGAAGAAATGCAGTCTGAGCAACAAAAGGAACCAGGTGCACTGGGGTGACGGTGGGTGAGGAAACTGCCCAGATACAGTCAGGATAAGTTTTTATAGTAACAGCAGCAGTGGTTATTGTATTTGTTGGTTTTAATCATAGAATCATAGAATATCCTGAGTTGGAAGGGACCTTTAAGGATCATCAAGTCCAACTCTTGACAGTGCACAGGTCTACCCAAAAGTTCAGACCATGTGAATCCTGAGAAGAAATGTGTAGCAGCCCAAATGGTGGTGGAACATAGGGACCTTGTTGAGGAATTAGGGTTCCTTTGAAGCAGGCTATTTTAAAATAGCTTTTTTTAATCAGGGATGTTACATATCTTTATACTGCAATATTGACACCTGTCCCTACTCAGTCCAACATGATTAGATATGCTGGGCTTTAGGTAGGTAAGAGTCTATTATAGCTGTAGCTTTTCAGTTTGAGTGAAATTTGCCTGAGAAAGGTACTTCTGACACTTTCCCAGTCAGTCACTGAACAAAATGATGAGCAAATTGCTTTGTGACTACTTAAGGTGACAGGACTGGCCCTATGGAGCTGTCACGACACTGACTCTTTGGGTTTTCTCTTTTTTTTGGTGAAGAAGCAGTTCCGTTGAGCACAGAAGAACAGCTCCGCCGCTTGCAAGAGGAAAGGACGTGCAAAGTGTGCATGGACAGAGACGTGTCCGTTGTGTTTGTTCCATGCGGCCACCTGGTAGCTTGTGGAGAGTGTGCCCTCAACTTGAGACTGTGCCCTATCTGCAGAGCGGTCATCCGGGAGAGTGTGAGGACTTTCATGTCCTGAGCTATGATGTGCTAAACAGGAAACATTAATCTATGCAATCCACTCATAAAACAGGAAGAAAAGTAGTTTAATACTGTCTTATTTGCAAGGCAGCCTGGCCTAAAACTTATTAAATGTGCCTCCTGGCACTGGCTAAAGTGATGATTTTAAATGTAATATTCTATCATGTAGCAAATAAAGGTTTGCCAGTACTATAGCTTGCTAACTGCAGGGGAAAAATGTTTTTAAATTAGCTGTTCTTTCACTGAATAAAGGCTTATCTTACAGAGATCTGAGCATCTGATTCTAGTATGTGCCCTGCTGGTGGGGATCCCACAATGTCAGAGTGGAATCAAGTTGTAGGTAACACTGAAGGATGGAAACTCAAGTTACAGAAGCATGAGAGGGAGAAACAACCTTATACCATCCACTGGTTTCCTTGGGAATTCACAGAAGATATTGCGAGGGACCTGCAGGCTCCTAACCCCAAAAGAAGGGAGGAGGGTGAGGGAGGATAAGGACCAAGCATGTGAAGTTGTGTAGGTGGGAATAATTCTGCATCTGAATGTGACTGAGAGATTTGATACCTCTTTCTTAAACACAGATGTGGAGCCTGGAGCATGGGCTCTGGAGCCACTTGTTTAGGTCCAACCCCAGGCCCTGAACAGGGTCAAAGGCTCATCCCCTTAACTTTAAGGTGTCAGGTAAATATTAATGCAGCTTTTGGCAATGATGAGAAATTACCAACTGAGCAGTTTAAACTCCTGAACTCTGAGGAAACTCTGAGGAGTTGGTGGGTTCCTTGCCAGCCAGCAGCTTTTGTAGTGAGCAGAGCTGTACCACTGTGCTAAATTAAGCATTGCATCTGGGTTCAAGCTATCACTGGCTCTATTTTGTCACTAAAAATAGCAGTGAAAGCTGCATACGTTTTAAGTGGGCGTGCTAATCTGTGGAGGGGAAAACAGCTCAGTGTTGGATTAGTGTTATTTCCTCTTAAACTTCAGCTCAGCACGGCTGGAACCCAGCCTCAGCATCAACGGGATGACAGGAGGCTAAACTGGCCAGCTATTTCTGGGCTTTTTTATTATTATTAAAGTTGGTTTGACTAGCGGTAGTCCCAAGCGGTGCCTGTCACCAACAGAGGGCACTCCTAACCTCTGGTAAAAACCCACTTCTTCAGGAAAGCTTTCACTGGCTCCTAATCTCACGGCTTGCTGGAGATGCAAACAGGGAGTTTCTGCCCTAACAGAATAGTTATTGTGTAGTCTTGCAGTACTGACAGTAGTAGGTCTAGCACAAGCAGACCAGCAGGAAGGGCTGTGAGAGCATGAAGGAGGAATGTCTTTGCTAACAAAACCCAGAGGAGGTAATTAAGTGTGGAATATGATGTGTAGTGTCTTGTCTCGCTTTGTCTTCTCAGAGTGACTTTTTTTTTCATTGCAGTTGCCAATACTAAATATTAGAAGCTTACCTGATCCTTTGTTTTGCTTCTAGTGAGCGGTGTGTAATTACCTGTGTTCATCATAGAATGGGAAGGGTAGTTGTTGAGAAGCTATTCAGTCATCAGACCTGTGTACAATTAATCTTTACTGCAGGATTTTGAAGTCAAGAGGCATGCTGGTAAGTGCACAGCTCTGTGCTTAGTCTTGTTAAAGTACTTAGCAAGGGTTTTCAGTTTTTGTAGTAGCTGTGGCATTAAGTCTCGGTCAGATGAGAGAGCATTAAACATACAGACGACAAAATAACTTGAGGAATTCCTTTCTGACTTTGTGTTACCATCTAGAATAATTCCCCTGTGTAGTAATTCCGTTGCTAACTGATTAATGAAACACTTCAGTTCCTCAGAGCTGAAACATTGTTTTCTCCACCACTTGTGCTAAGTTTTGATTGTTCTCGAACAGGGCCAGTAAAGAATGCTGGCATCTGATGGCATTTCTGAGAAGATTCTTTTTAAACTAGGAAATGTAAATTCCACATTTTCTAATTGTTTATCTGGGGCCTCTAAAATTAAAACTCAAAGAGAGGGAAGATTAATGCAAAAATCTTGATGATGAGCACTTTTTTCTACCCCTTCAGGGAATATCAAGCAGGGCAAGTAGGGAAGCGTAATATAGGAATGGGCTGAATCAAAGTAGAGGTGGAGAAAGTGCTAAGCAGCTGTGTACCCACACTGCTATGCCACTTCTGAGTGGTGTAGTAACTTGTGTTCTGCTTTTTTTTTAAGTTGGCACAGCACTGAAGGTAGAGGTAGTATGTTTGGTCAGGCAGAGCTTTTTCTTCCTCATATTGAGGAAACTAGTGGCGAAGCAGCAACTCCCAGCTGTCTGTTCTGCTCCATCAGAAGCTGTGGCTTGGACTGGCCAGAAGGAAAAACACCCTTAGAAAACTTCAGGAACATGCTGCTTGTATCTGCACCTGATCCGAACATGAAATGTTTGGCTGCAGTAGGCATCTGGAATGCACGTTGCATATAAATTGTGTATATTCTATTAGCACTAATTTTATAGAACAGCATTTTGTTTCCTGGATCCCTTCCGAATGGGACAAATAAAGGTGCGTCATTTTGTCTTTGACTTTAGCACTTAATGTTTTTATTTCTTTTCATCCTTCCACCACACTTCCCTTCCCTAGCATGGCTTCTGGCTTGACTCCTCTGTGAAGCACTGTTCAGAAATCCCAAGGAACCTTGGACTAGGCAAGACAAAGAATTACGACAGCATGTGGAGTGTACCAGCCACGGAATGCCATGAATGGCTGGACGAGCGCTCTCTCTGCTTGACACATAACATGCTGGGAGATGTAGTTAACAAAACTGACACTTTTTTAATTGCTGCAACTCATTAATGCAACTTAATTACAGTTATATCACCCCTTTCCTAGTCCCTGTTCCCTCCCGTCCAAGTTATCCTATCACAGAAATGCCTTCCAGCAAGAAGCTGTTGGGCTGTGCCCGAAGCGTGGCTGTGTGGTGAAGAAAGCAGGAACAAAAATGTGATCCAGGAGGAACCAGGGGCGTTTTCCAGGGTCCTGCAGCAGGTAGCAGTTGTGCATACGGTTACACCAGTGTTAATTTAATGTGGATGGGCAAACCCAGAGTAAGCTACAGCTGCTCTGAGAATGGCTTGGCACGTTGAAATGGGGCTAAGCTCCGTGCTGAGTAAAGATTTGGTGCTTGTGCTAGTTTTTTTTTAGCTGTTTAGCATTTATAGTATTTAAGTCACAGAACATTGAAGTCAGTTCTTACTACTAAGGAGTGAATAACTGATAAAGAGCAGAGGAGGGGAAGAGAGTCCTGGGTGAGGGGAAGAAAGGGAAGAGCTCTCATCTATAACTTAAAAAAAAAAGTGGAGGGTGTGCAAGGAGCCTAAACAACTCAAATGCAAATAGCCCTTACCTAGTTCTATACAGGCAGGGAAGACTTGAGGTTGTGTTAAGGGATTTAGGCTCTTTCCAGAACAAGGGAAAGGAGAAGGGAAGAAACTAACTACAAAACATGAGATGTCCCAGGGTGTTATGGTGTTTCCTTCTCTATGGATCCGTGGCAGAAGGAAGCAGCTCCGACTTCTACTGTATCTCTTGAGAGAGGCTCCTGGTGAACTTCTGCCTGAGGTCTTCAGGCTGCTGCCATCTGTTGGCGAGTACCACCAGGCTATGGTAGGAATGGTTCATCAGGGCACTTGTAGAGTTAAGAACAGACTGCGTGGTCATCCTTCGGTGTACATTCATTGCATGTGAAAAGAAGAGAAGGAACAACAAATGGAATGGAGTTCTCCATCCTGCATTTCCTCTACTGGAGATCCAGGCCACAGGGGATTGTTTCCTGCAGCACATTTTGGAGTGCAAGATTTATCCATCCTCTGGCTCTTCTTTATTTACGCAGGCCTGTAGAGGAAAAAGTGAGGCAGGGCATCAATACGGAGCTCGGATTAAACTTGAGTTAAACTGTGAAGACGAGGACAAAATTGGTTTGTTTTTTTTCCCCGTTGTGGGCTTTTAAATACAATGTGTTACAAATGAGGAATAGGACTGAGATCAGAGGTAATGGGGTTAATTAGTGTTCAAGTTTGGAAAGAACATTATGTATATACCAGACCTGAATATACTGCAGTTAGATGAAGGAATAGTTATGAGCTGGAGTGTTAGGTCCATGGATCTTCAGCCTTTGGAGCTGCTTAAAATTTGGTTAGGAGTTTTAAAAGCTAGGGGCGTCTCTGGAATAAGGTAGCTTCTTAAAGCACATCACTGCAATTCCAGTGCAGAAGCATCAGTATAAGCATATCTACTTTTGTAGCCAGCATTAAGGATGAGTGAAGGCTTTCAGCTGAAACATCACCTCTTAAACATGCAGCTTCAGGTTGATCAAAACAGTTTGCAAATTCAGGTTGATATTCAGCAAATGTTTTTGTTGGGGGGAAGGGGGGGAGGTCTACCTAGAAAGAAAAGCAGAAGGATTTTGATGTGTGTAGCGTTGTGTTTGTTTTCCAAAGTGGGCTTAGTGTCTTGGTCGTTTAAAGAGAAGTTTGGAGGAGAAAATCAATCCTAAAGAAGCTTTAGTTTTTCCCGCTCGCTCCCCCAGTGTTTCAGTCTGGCTATTTGCATACTTGTACCTCTCAGAAGAGCTGAGAGGTACAAGTTTATCTACTGAAAAACCCACTTTAATGCAGTTTTAGTGGGTGACTGTTGTATGGGATCTGGTCCTCTAATTCAGGATGCTCACAGCTGCTTTGTGCCTAGGGCTACAGGCAGGCTGCAGTGCAGAAGAGCTGCTGAGGGGTTATTAAAGGAAGCAATTACCCCTGAGAGCCTTGGATCCCTAATCAAACAGTGCCTCCTGTTGCTACCCTGTCAATACTGGTGCCTCCATCTGATAAAAGTCACACCCTTGGTTACCCTCTGGCCCTTTCCAGTGGTAGATCTAAGGGAAGCAAAGTCAGTGAAATCTGGCTCAATAAATAAAGTTACATTTAACTTATGAGCTTTAAGAGAGTATTGTGTGCCAGGTTGTGCCCATGTTGTGGACAGGAGCCTTACAACTGTGCAATTCATTACTGGTTGTGTAAGTGTGGTGTTCAAAGGCAGGGAGATGTATTTATTTTTTATATTTATTGCCCATCTCTCTACATTTTAAGTAGAGGCTACTTCCCATCATCTAGCTAGTTCTTGGTTTTGCAATAAGTTGTGTACAGAATGATGTTACAAGACTAATCTGTGTTGTAACTGAGCTCACCCAGTACTGAAACACATTCAGAGAATGATGTCAAAGGCCTGAATGGATGCAGCAGGCAGGAAGCGCTGACAAGTTATCGGATGATCTGGGCCTCCTACTGTCTTGGCAGGCATTGCAGGGTACTGGGAGATAACAGCTTTAGTCAAACTTCAAAGCTGGTTGTTAACCCTTCCATGGTTATAATGTGAGCTCTCTTGCTTCAAATGGGAGCTCTGTTACTGCAAATGACCAAGAAAAGCAGCCCTGATGCCTTTTGCAATGAAGCCAAAGAGGAGATGGTAGTGGAAACAGGCGTGGCCTGAATTTGGTCTTTAGCTAAGGAAAGGCGAGAGCTCAGTCTTTCCTTCCTGAAATCTCATTGGGAATGTTCTCTTTTGGTCTCAGGAGAATTAGTTTGGCTTTAAATAACTGCTTTATTATCCTGTGGTTAAGTACTTTCACCCAGAAAGTCATACACTAAAGATTTAACTTCTATCAAGTAGACTAATATTTTATTATTAATTAGTACAGTGTGGTGGTGAAAGTCTTCTTGCATAAAAACTTCCAGAAGGCTTTCTTAAGCCTGTGACTTGAAATAGGAGTTATCCCATTCAAAATCCCCTAAAGTCAATGAAATGCACAACAGAAATGGTTGTGGAATCTGAAATAACTGTATTTATAGAACAGTGCCACTGTGTGAGTGGTGGAGAGGCTAATTAAGATGAAGAATCCTCAAAATCATGCAGTTGTAAGCACCAGTACAAAACTGTTATTTCAAAGAGAAATAACACCTGGCTTTTATCACTTGTGCGGCATTCAGTTCACTTCCTTGCCACTGAAGTGAAGGAGTTCAGCTTGAGATAAAGCTGGGTGATAACTGGATTATGGGCTGGAAGTATCTGCTATCAGTAACAGTGTTGGGAGGTGTTTTTTTAACCTAATTCAAGGTAAAGGTACGTGAAAGGTATGTGAGAGCATCTTTCAGTACAGTGGGTAGAAGCTGAAGGCCAGAAGTAAGGGTGCACACTTTTAAATGCCGAATTTAGCAGCTGATAACCACAGAAGTATATTACTAAGGAACACATTCTACTTTGAACTTTGACAGTGTATTTAAAAGTTACTTGACTTGGAGGCTGGGTAGTCAATACAAGAGCAGGTCTAGTCCCAGATTTAAGCGATGCATACCAGTGTAGGTCAATGTCACTGTTCTGGGGGGCCTTCAGAGTATGGAAATCCCTAATTTGGAGAGAGGAAGTAGGGAAATGTGCAAGCCAAGACAAGGGAGAGGACAGAAGAGAGGAAGGAGTGTGATCTCACTGGAAAAGGACAGGTAAAACTAGGATGTAGAGGGTAATACAATTAGACAGGGAATGAATGAAAGCGATTCTGTTAGACAGTTGTGGCAACAGGACAAGATCATCATCAGGACAAACTGACTACTGTCAAACGGGGTGATGCCATCCTAAAATTAAAAATGGAAGTTCATAGCTGCAGTTAGCTCAGAGTCAGTTGTAAAATGTACTTGGTTTCGTTCAGGGCTTCCATCAACAAAAAGGAGAAAAAACAAAGCACGTGCTCCTGACCCCTAGCTGATCTAAAAATTAAACTTGAATTTGGATGTGTTTGTTGTTTTGCATCTTCTTGGAAGGATACAGAATGTTTTCAGCCATCATTAAATGACTTTCATAGCAGGACAAGGGCAGCTGGCCCTCAGTGCCTCATGTTGTAAAACTCTATAGCATCGTTAGTTGAGAATCAGGTAGGGATCTACTCCTACTCCCACTCCTGCGTGTGGAAGAGAGGCAATAACTAGTCTGGAATAAACAAAAATTAGTGTTTGGCTGCTGTGAAATTTATAGAGGGTCATCTTATCTACTCCTTAGCAGCTGTTTTCACCTCTAGTTAGTCAGGAAAGAAATATTATATTGTGCTGGCAGAAGCTATCAGTGCGTGAGTGATGGTCTGAACAATGGAAATGAACGGAATTAGCTGTGCACTTCAGTAGCTTACCATCTTATTAAGACCCTTGTAAGGAAGTTTTACATTGCTAGCTTCTCAGTGGGGATTACCATCTCCCCATACAGAAAACTTCATAATTACCAGCTTTTTTTCACATACGGAATTGTCATTTTAAGTAAAAAAGCAACCCAAGCCCCATACTGTAAAAGCACACCGCTGCATCAAGACAATAAATCAGGGAGCTGCCTACAGAAGTTCCACGGCTTCTGCAGCCTGTAGGAAGTTCTGTCCCACTGTGACAAAATGAGAGGGAAATCAATATTTAATCTCCTGTAGCATCCCTTCTAATAATGCTATTGCATCCCCAAAGTTACAGGGAATTTAACTGCTTTGCAGCAATGACTGATTCTTCTGGTCTTGTGCTACATTACAGGGCGACACCTACAGATTTATCTGCGGGTAGTTTTTCTTCTCCCAACCCCACTTTTCTCCCCCATCTTCACATCTTTCTTTTTGGCAGAACTCTCTACTAATATTATTCCCCAAAACAACCTTCCTGGGTGGCTGCTTTTACAAATTCCTGCAGATTGAACGGCCTTCTGGCAGCTTGATGCAAGAAGCACCAAAAAATCACTCCTATTGCTGCTTTAAATGGATAACGCTAGCCTTTGTTTGAGATTCTCAATAAGTACCAGCTTTAAACTGGACCGTGTAGAAGTGCACTTCTGTGCTCTCAGCAGTGGAAGGAGAGGAGCTGAGGGCAGAAGCTGGACTTCAACCACAGCTCTATTACACTGGTGTGAGAGGAGCTGCTGAGGATGCCTCCCTTTCCTGCTCCCCCCTCTCAGCTGAGCTCTTGGGATGGCACAGATAAAGCTGCTGTTCTTGTAGGCAACAGAATTCCAACGCAAATGAAACCTGAAGAGCAAACTTGCCCTGTCCTGCATACAAATTAATACTCATTTTAATGTGCTGGTGGGTTAGCTTTGCTCCTTACAGGCTCTCTAGAAGCATGGGCAGATACAGAGGGGAAACTGTTACAAGAATCAAAGTTCAATGTGCTGTTATAGGAGGATGCCCAGTGATCAAAACTGCGTGGATGCACAGGTCTAAGTTCAGTTGTGACTGCCCACAAAGCTGAGATATGGCTTAAATAACTAGAAGCTGCATTTATTTTACCTCGGTAGAGATCTGCCGTTGAGCCTGACGTGCCATAATTTAACTTTAGGATTGAGAATCATACTCTGCTGTCCCTCTGGCTTATTCTCAATGTTCACTTATTCTCAGCTTCCTCACAGCTCCTACCTGTACCTGCTCAGGCAGCATTCAAAGCCTCTCTCTGCTGAAAAGCATCCAGTAGCTTGTTTACAATAGCATCCTGCAGCTGGCCCAAGTGTTTCCTATAAACCTCACTGCCATCAGCCAAGCTTTGCCCTGGAAACCAGGGGCTGAGCAGAGGCAGCTTCACCCTTCCTGGTGTTCTGCAACTTGTTTGTTCCTTCCATGCCTGAAAAGCCTGCTGGAGAAATCAACCTGCTAGGAGGAAAAACCCCAAACCAATGGCACCCCTGAGCCGTCAAGCTCAGAGGCATGCACAGCCTCTTAGCGTAGGAGACGATACTTACAGGTATGTCTGCTTGAACAAAAGGTTGGTGGGTTTTTCATTGACATGGTAGAGAGGAAATGGATCAAATCCACCAATGAAATCAACTGAAAAAAAAATCAGAACTCAAATAAACAAACAAACATGGCCAGAAAGTTGGAAGGAAATGAAAGGAAAAGTCGGTTCGTGTCATGGCATAACACAAAAATCAGTGAGAACAGAAAAAATGATTCTTCAGGTATGGATTGCCAGGTGGAAAGTTCTCCCTCTTTTCCTGGATGGATCCCCGAGGCTGGACAAGCACGCCAAAGAGGAGATTCAGCTAATGCAGAACCCAAAGCAGAGAGCTAACAAAAGACCTAAACCAAACAAAAGCTCCAGAAAAACGAGAGGACCTCCCTCAGCCTTCTCGGGTATTGCTGCCACGCTGTGACTTCACAGGGAAGGGAGCTGCCGAAGCCTCGGCCGTTCAGCGATGTGCTGAGAGAAGGAAGCTGGGGGCTGGCTCGTGAGTAAATGCCAGCAGAGAATTTGGCAGCGCAGTGGTCCCCGTGAAGGTTATATACTGAAGTGGGAATTTTCTTGCCCAACTTGTCTTTCCTGCAAGACAGATGACAGCAGCTTTGGAGGGCTGCGAATACCCCATTGTCTGCAGCTCTGCTATTTTTCAGGTCCCCTCTGCCAGCTCCATTTCTTTAAATTGTATACAAGTCGGAACAATGCTTCCCTTCTCCAGTCCTCACAGAAGGGCGATGTAACTAAACCAGGAATGTTTTAAGGGACAATTCCCCTTAGTAACCATGGAGCAGTTTTCCAAGTCTCTCTTAGTTCCCCTGAAATTAGGCCAAGTCTGCACTACCAAGCTTGGCCAACACAGCGGGGTCAGCGTGGGGATGATGTGGTACGGTTTGTGATCGACCTAGAGAGCCCTGCAAAAACCTTTAAAACATATCCAGCTTAGACTCCTCTCCATGCCAAGTTAGAGCATCTTGTTTGGAAGTACAAAAGCTATCCCAACCATATATAACTGGCATGTTATTAACTATATAAATGCCTGTTCATTTTCCTTTCCTGAAGGTGGCACTGTAATTTTAGGTTTTAGCTCTATACTTTTTATAAAAAAAAATTAGGAAAAATGTTTATTAAATATATAAGAAGTAAAAAAAAAAAAAAAACTCTAAAAATATATTTAGAAACCCAAGGAGGATGTACCCTCACAAATTCCATCTTGATGAGTAGCCTCATGCTGACACTGTGGTTTTGGAACAACTGTGAGTTAACGGGTGAAATCTGTAGAGATTCTAAGCAAACTATGGGGATCCTTCCCAGCACTTCCAGTGAGATTGAACTTCACTTAGCCACTTAAAAAAAACTGTGAGTATTTTAAAATTGAAACAGTTGGCAGTTTTAAAAGAACAGATGCTAACTATATTACCTCAATTGTGCAGCATCTAAATTAGGAAGGCTTCTTAACGACATGCAATTTACAGTAACTGTCTGTTACCTTAACAAAGTCATCTCATCTCAGCACCCAACCGTGGAAGCACCCAAAAGCCAAGTCTCTTAAAGAGAAAGTCTGAGCTGTGGTTCTCTGTTGCTACCACCAAGACATCTCAGTGCATCAGGACACCTGAAATACTCTTGCCCACAGTTCAGTGTTAGTAGATCCCTACTGCTGTGTTTTCTCATGAAAATCACGTTAGCATGAGCTTCCTGATTAATGTGCCTCAGCACTTGTAATTACTTCATGCTGCATATCAAAGGAACATTTAAAAGAAACCACAAATGGAAGAGAAAATTAAAACGCAGCTCAAATTCATTCGGGTCACTGGAAGGATCTACCACTGTGAGTGTGAAATATTGATGGTTTGTCATTGTTAATTATTCAAGCTGGCATTTTAACTCCAAGCTGGGAAACTGGGAGGAAAAAGGAATTTGTTAGTGGAAAAAAAAAAAAAAAAGTATCCTGGAATTAACAACTCTGTGTTTCTAGATAATGCTTCCTTCCATGTGATTGCCTCTCCTACCAGATCCCTCCCATAAAAATGAGCTCGGTCAAGTTACTACCTTGCAATATTCAAAAGAGGCTCACAATTCAAGCTATTTAGCTACCAGAAGAGCTATTGGATATTTTTAAAAATATTATTTATAACAAAGCGCCTTCACTAAGTGCAATTCCAAGCTCTGAACAAATAATCAATAAAGCCAGCAGAATGAGCTCAGCCGCACGGAAAACAACAGCAAAACACGAGGACAAGTCAGATAAGCAATGCAGCTCATCTCACCCGTATGAAATCAACATTCTTCACATACTTTCAAATAGTCAGCTCAAAGCTGTTATTTTTCAGCTACCATCCGTGCCAGCTGCTCTTTAAAACAACAGAGCTACTTGCACAAACCTGACAAAAATCTTAAGGAAGTGATATTTGGGTATAAAGCCTTTGAATCAGATCCTTACCTGGAGTGAACTGGCCTAGACCCACTGATTTCAGTAAGAATATTCCAATTTAAACATTCTGAATTCAAAAACAGAAAGGCCAAAAAAAAGCAGAATTCACATTTATTTGAGTCCCTATTTGATCCCTACGCATCCATTTTTTGTTTGCAAAAGTATTGGTCTCAGGGGGCATTTTAGAAGGGCAGTAATTCAGGAGCAGGCTGCAGGTGTCTGGATAGATCCCGCAGACCCAACCATCCTTGTGACTTCTCTGAATTTTTGCTCTTTTCTGACCCATCACAGTGAAGGTATGACACTTGAGAGAGTTGTCAACCAAACACGAGAGTCAGCTCCGTCATCCTTCCCGTAATTCAGATGCAGCGCTTCCTCTGCTTTTAAATTAAGTGGTCAGGATGGTTCCTGGCAAGAAATCTCATGCTCTGCTTCATCCTCAGCTTATGGCACATGATACTCAGCAGGTGGCCCAGCTGAGTACCAGGCTTTGCTGTAGTTTCTCCTGTTTAAATTTCAGTGGCATTACTTTTCAGCTAGAGAAGCCTGAGACCAGAAGAAGCTGCCCAGTTTCTCTGAAGCCTAGCCTGAGTGAGTAGCTAACACCACGCTTTTTTTGTGTTGGAAGAGTAGCCAGATTACAGCACGTAACACGTAGTGACGTGGGGAGAAATATCACACAGTAAAAACAGCTGATCCTTGCAAGGTAGGCAGGACCACATCACATAAAGGGAGAGATGGAAAGGAGTCTGATGACAACTTGTTCTTGATAGATGAACATCTGAGATAGAAAGCAAATTTAATAAACCCTTTCCAGGGGTTCTGTTGATAAATACTTACAGCTGTCTTCTTCTTCTGTAAAAACACTAACAACATAACAGGCGTAGACAAAGCCCACCAGCTGGAAAACAGAGAGAATAAATCATTTCAGCATCAATCTTACACGGCTGGTCAAAACCCACTTGGCATGACGTTAGCAGCCAATATTTATTCTCCACTTGGCAGCACTACCATAACGGTGGAGCCAAGTCATATTGGCTGTGAGGTGGGGAGTACAGGTGGAGGCTTAGAGGAGGACACTGCTGGGAGCAGACTCAAAGCTCAAAACTTGACCCATCCTCACCTTCAGATTGTGACCTGCTGTCACTAGAATGTTTTTCAAGAACATGGGCTGGCTTTGTTGATATTGAAACTAAGTTTATGCTCTGTAAGAAGTGATGGGAATGTAGGAACTGAGGTAACGTTTTAGACAGACCTCTACATACAGGGATAGGTTTTATTACCAGAGGTTCAGGTTTTACTACCAGAGGTTCAGCTCCTCAGCTCTGTATTCCTGTGATAAGGGGAATGAAAGGGAAGAGAAATTACACTGGTGTAGGAGCAATCAAAAAGACGTGAGCAGTTTTTATGCAGATGAGGTGGAAACTTATTTAACCATGAAAACAGTGCTGTGCTGGCAGCAACGTTCAGAGCCACTGAGATCTTTTGTAATGTAGGCTTGGAGATCTGAAGTTCATTGGAAGGAAATCCCAGTCTTACTCTAGGTCCCCATTTTCTAAGGGTCTTTCTATGGAGAATAGACACTGCTGCATGGAGTAATCAAGCACTGGGCCTGCAAAGTAAACGGGCTGGGGCATGGCGAAAAACAAGCAAGACGGCAGTGATGGTCTTACTTCACAAACTGCAGAGGCTAGCAGGAAACTGCCACCTCCTGGGAGGAGGACGGACACGGGCAAGGAGCAGTAACACAACGGGGGTGCCTCTCAAATAGCCGTCCTGGCACGGCACGGCCCTCATGTCAACCCATTGCTCGGAGCAGTGTTTCGAGCAGAAAACTAGAGTGAACGTTAAAAAAGCAATTTGTGGGAGCCCAGCAGGTCTGTGCTTAGTTGATAGAGCTTTGTAGGAGCTCTGAAGTATCCGAACTGCCGTGTTCAATTTCAGTAGCAAGTTGTTACCCAGCCTGAAAAGAGAAATAAGCTTTTGGTACTGTGGGAATTAAGCATTCTAGATTCAGCAAGGTTTTATTTTGCTCTGCCTTCTTCCTGGTAATCAAATATCCTCTCCATCCTTCATTTTACATCTTTACATAGCACCCCACTTAGCGAGATCTTGGTTGACAGTAACCGTATTAGTAAAGTTATTGTGAGGCATAATTGTTTTCCACTGTGAACTCAATTCTCCTGAACAAGAGCTAGGATGTAACATGCAGTGACTCACTCCAAGGGAAGACAGAATGATGCATGGTGAAGCTCGGAAAGTGGAGTCCATTCATTTTTAATATGACAGAAAAATACATCACAGCAGAAAACAAAAGGCAAGATAATGAGATTTCTACTGGGGAGTTATAAGGCATTCTTGATTTCTCCAGCTCTCCCAGACAAAAGAGACCTTGTTGGAAGGGAATGGAATATTTCTGTAGCATCATCAAACCCTGTATTGCCTTTACATCTCCTATAATCATCCTAGAGATGAGCCAGCTCTGGGTGGGCCCTATGGAAACACGTCCCTGTACCTCCATGCAGTAGAGGTAGCCCTGACATTTTTTGAGTTTGAAGGTCCAGCCGTTTGTATTTCACAAGAGATAAGGCCAAATCACAGGGCTGACACACACACAAATACCCACGCAGGGAAGATGCATCTTGAACGCATGCTCTGATTCCACAGGAGCTCGAGGAAGGCTTTCTCCTTCCCCAGATTTTCTGTCATGCCCCAGAGTAGGAACTTTGGATTAACAGCCATGCAAAATGGCATCAATCACCCACTATTATATGCTATAACATATGCACACAAACCTTATCTAAGGTTGCCATTCCTGATATCTGGGTCAGGGAACTCCTAATTCCAGCTCTGTTGGAGCAGAGAGTTTTGTTTTTATTTCCTGATAAAAGTTTCAAACTGACCTGACTGATGTTAAAATTTTTCTTTGTGTTTACCTTATAACCCATTCCTTCTTGACAAGAGTTTCATCAGTAATAAATTGCTTATTCAGCTGAACATTTTTTTTTATTCAAATAATTTCTGCAAGTCTTGCAGCCTGCCCAGAAAAAGAGATTTTCCATGGCAAAGGAGGGAAGAGACCTACAAGATAAACGTGAGCACATTTTTACGCTGGCTGACCTAAACTGTAATTAACGGTATCACCTCAGGGGTGATGTGAGCTCCTGGGACTGCCTGCATCTTGCTTCCTGCGTGAATTGTGAATGAAGCAGTTACAGAGAAACACCGTTCCTATTGCCCAGTTGTTCTCAGTGGAAGAGTCTGCTGGAGCACGCTGTGAGTAGACTCCAAGAGACAGCAGTGGTTCCCTTCTGACTGCATTCTTGATGAAGATGTGTCAAGCCCCCAGACACCACCACGGTTAGCAGTAATTAACACTGAGCAGAACGCTTCAAAGGCCAAGAATTCAGAAGTAATTTTGCTCTTGCTCAAAACGTGGTCTTCATTGCTGATTTCGGTAAGAGGGCTTTAAGCTCTGCCATCCCAGGGAAATAAATAGCAGGAATTCTTAGATCTTTGTGAATCGCACAGGAAAGGTGGAAGAGGAGGGGAGAAGTCAGTGATGTAAAACGACACTAAGCTATTGCCCTAATTCCCCAAAGAATGTTCCCGGGCTTTAGCCTCTGCTGCTGTTTCTCCACTTGTTCTGCGTGTTCAGTACCAGCTTCCTCCAGGCTGCACAAGTATCCGATTAAGCTTTTTATTAGGAACACATGTCGCAGGCAGGTGTGTTCAGTCAGCCCGTCGGACAGCCTGGGAACGCACACGCTGCCGAGCAAGGGAGAGGATGGAGCGAGGGGATGGAGCTGGGATGTCCCAAACATTGTGCCGGCCGATCAGCAGAGCAGAAAAGGCAGTGTGTGTTCCTAAGGAACAAGGAAACAAACCAGTTCCTTGGTCGTCTGAAGTTAACTTTTAAATACTGAGTTGAAGAGTGTTCATGGAAGAGCAGCACTGAGGTAAAGGACTAGAGGCACAAAGAGTGAATTACAGGAAGATCTAACGGGAGGGACCAGCTGGCTGCAAGCGTACAAAATACTTGAAGGATGGGAAGGCAAATTTTAGAAGGTGTTACTGCTGCTTGAATAAAATCTTAGCTTTGATCTGCATCTGTTCTGGTGAAGATTCTGGGCTCTTCAACTCTTCTCTCCGGAGAAAAGAGAAACTTCCCATTGCTTTTTTTTTTTTTTTTCCCCACCACGGAGTATGTGCAGAATCTCCTTCTCCAGGGCAGATGTACTCCAGGTTTCACTTCTAATCAGAGCTAATGAAGCATGTGCGCTCTCACTGAGAGACTGGGGGGGAAATAAAGAGCCTTCTGACCAATTCCCAAGCTACAAGAAAGCCAAAGCCAGCCTGTGAGAAAGCTATTGTGGCCAGATAGTCAAAATGGAGCAAAATCCTTTGATTCCCTGACCTTCTTTACTCTTTGGATGCAATTACAACCACTGAAAATCTAGCTTCTGCCAACAGCAGAGCATCTCCTGCGCCTTGCTTCTCACATAACATCTGCTGTCAAAGCCTGAGCTGCCGCCTTCCTGGGAGCCTTCCAACCTGTCAGTCTGAGCGAAAGCAGCAGACAGGCAGCTCTCTCGGTTGGGAAGATATTTCCAATTTCCACCCCAATTCAACGAAGCCTGAGGAAAAGCCTAGACCTCCCCGCTCCCAGAACTACCATATGGGCGGCCCAGAGCTATGCCAGGTATTTCAGACCCAGAAATCGCTCCTCTCCCTGCTGGCTGGGGAGATGCAAGATGAATCCTTGGTAAGATAAAAACAAAGCAGATTTTTTGACACTGGCTGCTGTTGCATTTCCTGATTAGGTTCTTAGGATTAGTTTTACAGTTACATTTCTACACCAGTACAGACTTCAAGAGTTTTTGTTCTAATTGGAGCTTTTCCTCCGGTGTCTTCGTTGCTCAAGCACTGAGCAAGATTTTCATTCTGGGCCCTACAGCTACTCGTCTCATGTGTGGTGACTGATGTACCCAAGTTTGATCCCGCTCCAGATTAAAGGAGTTGCTTTTGCCTTCAAGGGGTACAGACAAGCTCTGAACAAAAGCAGACTGAGACCTTATGCATCTTCCTCAAACGTACACCCAGGAGTGGGATAATATAGCCAGCAGGAGTCAAGATGACAGCTAGTACGGGGGTTGCCATATGGGCTAAGGTTTGCTTTCCCTCTGCTTTGGCATGCACGATGAAATCCAGTGAGATGAGCTCAGCCTTCCCCGGGCACACAGCATGGTGCACTATAGGTCCTCAGGAGTCTCGAGGAATTGGGACTTCCAGAAAAGAAGTAAAGAAGTCTCCTCAGCTGGGTACTGCATAAAGAACGTGGATATCACACTACTGTATCTGGAATTTAAAAAATAAATTAAAAAAAAAAAAAAAAAGGAAAAAAAGAACTACCCAACAACTTCTAAAAACCACTGAACAAAGCAAAACCAGCAGAATGGGACAATTTTGCTTGTCCCTCCCCCTTAAAACGGTGCTGACTGCTGAGGTCTCAAATGCGTGGGAGACGAGGAGGGAACTGGGTCATGTCCCTGGCTGCATCCCCCGAGCCCTCAGCTCCTCCTCGTGGTTTTTGTGCTATCGATCTGGCCTCTCTGCCAGCCTGCTGCTCAGTACCTGCCTGGCGCTCTGGGAAGGACGGCAGCCTGTAATAAAATCTGCCTTAAAATGAGATAAAGAGCACAGAAAGAGATCCTGGCAGGGATCAAAGAGTTTGACCCTCAGAGACTAAGAAGGGAGAGAAGTGGCTGACTGGTTTCAGGCGAGGTCTGAGTGAGAATACGAAAAGGCTTCTTTCTGCCTTACCTCAGCAAAGCAGAGGGGAAAAGCTCTGTTTTTCCCACTACATGACAAAATTATATGAGCATTTCAGAGCTGGCAGGAGCTACAGGCCTGGGGCTTCAATATTCTGCTTTTATTACAGGACAAGCACAAATTTACCTCACTGCACAGCTCAGCCCATATGGCTTCCTTGCATACAAATATTTTAGCCTCATTTCCAGGGTTTAGGATGTAAAAACCCACTGTGAGTTAAGTCTCGGGGAAAAGGATAGAGAAAATATTTACCTAACTCGTATTTTATCTTATAGTTCCCTCCTGTCTCCCCAGCTGGCCCCTTGCGGTGGTTTACAGATGCAGAGGGAGTACTGGCCTGTGCCCTGGGGGAAGCAGAAAACACTCCTGGAGACACAGACTGATGAGTAGCAGTGTGAGCACTGAGCTCAGGACCAGCTGCCTAAGTCAGTGAGACACCCTGAAACAAAGCCCTGTCCCGCTCCACATCAGGACTGGTTGTTGGCTGGACCTCAAGCCTGGGACATGGTGCTTGTGGCAGCTCGGACGTGTAGAAGGATGCTAACGGTGACACTTCTGCACTTCAGGTCCACCTGTTCTGACTTCAAACTGTGTCAGCTGTCTCACCAAAGTCAGGAACAGCACCAGATCAGCATCAATCCTGCCCCAGCTAACAGCTCTTTATAAAAGAAAATGAGCTCTGATCTTCTGGATGCATTGGTTTTCCTTTCTCATACACGTGCATTGAAGCAACTCGCAGACACTTTAGGTCGGATCCTTTTCCCTGAAGGAAAACCCACCAAACATTACCAGCATAAAGCCCAGCAGGGGTGCAGGGTGACTTGTTGCTGGCTGGTTGTGTGATGCATTACCCCACGTGTTGGGCTGCTGCTGTGCATGTCCAGTTTCTCTAGCAATATCATTCATAAGAACCCATGAACAAACAAATAAGAACATTTCCAAAGGCCTTTGCAATCAGATGATACAAACTGGGATGCAAAGTGTAGGCCAGCCTCTGTGCCTGGAAAAGACAGAGGGCATCTCCTCAGCAGTTGCTCAGGTGGGCTCAGCAGCGTACTCACCGCGATCAGGATCTGGAAGGAGCTGTGCATGACCTCGATGTACCGGTACTCCAGGGCACAGCCTATCACCGAGACGTACGAATGGCTGTCCAGTCCTTTGATGCCAGACATCGAAGCCTCCTTCCTTACGCAGCCGGGACCATTTTCACTCCACCACGACTGGTGCCGGGAGATGTTAAATGTCAAGAGTTCGCTGTCCTAAGGAGAAGAGTTGCAAAGAGATCTCCACTTACTCCAAGAGCATCTGATGTGCTGCCAGATGGGGGTCATTAAATCAATGGAAAACCTAAAGCTTCTGAGATCCCCACCCTCAAGAAACACCAGCACTGATCAAAATGCATTGATGTTAGATTTCAAATCTGGAAGAAAAAGGCAAATGAGAGCACAGAGCACCCCGTCACAGAACCTTGTGCTATGGGCATGGAAGCAACACAGAGAAATGAAAGAGAGAAACTTCATCACCCCAAAGCAAATCTCAAAACCCAGCAGATCTTCTTGTGTTCCTAGCTTTTAACCCACCTACCAAGTTTCCCTACTGTTTCTAACTGTCCCATTTCCTTCCACTCCTGACATCTGGCGTTTCTGCTTCTTCTGTTGACCCTAGCACTGACAGCCTCAGGTCAAGTTACCCAGCTGAGCTGACCTCAGTGACCGCTGCAGCTTCTTACAAACACTTTTGCTGCAATTCCTTATGAACTCTACCTCAAGAGAGGCTTTTTTTATTTTAGTCTGAGCTTCACTAGTTAAATAAATAATGCCGTTGTGGGGGTTACGTGGTGAAACATCACACAAGTAGTGCAGGAGTTGTGTGCAACCGGCTGCTGATTTCAAAATAACACACGAGAAAAGCATGAGACCTGCTGGAGCATCCAGAGCGCTTTGGGATTTTGAGCCTATGGGACACGGCAAAGCCCTCCCTGCAGATGGCAAAACACAAACTGAGAGCTGGCAGAGTGGGTCAGGAAAGATCAGCCACATCGCTCCATAGACCAGTGCTAAGTGCTGGGTGCCCCCAGCAGGCCTCTCGGGTCACTCTGATGCAGAATCAGCCACAAGGGAGTGGAAGTTTTACTCTGAAGGTTAGATTACAAAACAGATCAGGCAGAGAAGTCATGCGTCTCTACAGGGTAGAAATATGTTTTGGATTCACACACCCGGCCAAATGTTTCTAAAGCTTTTAGCACCTATCTGTGTGCTACTTGGCACTGGTCATGCCAGGGTCGTGCAGACCGCCTGCAGGAAAGAAGCAGCTCCCAGAACAGCAGCAGAGCTTGGGGTATTCACTTCCTAACACAGGAATCCAAACGTGGCAGCTCCTCTGCCTTAGTTCCCCCCAGGCCAGAGGGAAAAATGGGATGAGAGCAGCGCGGGATGAGAGCAGCCACTCCAGCCTCTGCATTGCCCTCAGCCCAGAGGACTCGAATCTGCTGTCAGTCCAGGGAGCAGAGCCAGGTAAGCCTGCAGATACACTTCTGCATACCCATGTTTGTATCCAGGGGCAAATTTGAGTTACAAGAGCAGAAAACCTGAATGCCAGCCAGATAACTCGTGAATAGAGACCGACCGCCCCAGCGCGCGCATTGTGTGGGTACCCTCTGCTGCACCACGGATCCTGAGAAACAGTTTGCAAAGCTGTTATTAAAACATGCTGCAGGAAGCACATGTTAAGAAATGTGGACAATTAAGTGAGGAGGCAGCTGCCAAGTTCCCGACATAATCACCGCAGCAGATGGGATGTTTTACAGTAGATGGAGGAGGGCATGGAGATGAAGGATGGCACCAGCGCACGAGCAGCCTGAATGGCAAAGGAAAGACAATAGAGAAAACTATTAACAGTTGGGAATTTAAAGGGAGCTGCCTGCGTTTTTAAGGCCAAGGGAAATAATTAGGTTGGCAGCTCCAGGATAACACCCTGCAAGGAGCTGTGCCATCTACATTGCTGGAGTTTGCTTGTGCAGCTTCTTGGCAGTTTTGACGGAAGAGTCTCCAGCTTGCTCCCTCTGCTGGGCATTGCTCTTCGGTGGCCCACAGAGATCCCATATATCAACCAAATTGCATCTTTTCTGCAAAGCTTGCTCTTTCTCTCCCAGCTTTTTCCCCAGAAAAGCTCTTCCCCCTGCAGCCAGCCAGCCCTCCTAGCTGCTGGGCTCTTCTCACAGACCACTGGAGTTAGGGAAGGAAAAAATCATCTCAACAACAACAAAGAGTCAATTCCTTTTTCTTTGCCTGGGGCTTTCCCCAATTAGCGCAGTAACAAAGCCATTCCAGGGGGCACCACAGGATCTACTCTTTACCCCGGTCCCCAGGGCTTCCCTTTCCCAGCTCACAGATGGTGCTTTCCCAAACCTTCTGCCTCGCTGATGCAAAGAGCCCCTCCAGTGCTCTTCTCTGCTCCTTCCAGAGGCATCTGTGTGTATTTGGCAAAATAAGGAGCAGGCTGCTCTCCTTCCCAAACCTCTGTAATGACTGATGGATGATACAGAACTGGTTCTGGCTTAGCTTTACTGCAGAAGCTGAACTTGTTCGTGAACGAAGCCTGGAAAAGCAGAATGAGTGCTGGGCTGGAGGTGGGCAGGTGGAAGGTCCTGAGCAGCAGTCAGTGCTGCTCACCTACTGTCACCCTCCAGCTCTGCGCAGAAATATTATAATCTGCTTGGAACCGAGTGGAGCAAAGGAGCACATTTGAATTCTGAAGGTACCCCCACAACTCCCACCCACTGAGCCAGCCATCGCAGATGGAACACGAATACTGATTTTGCAGCAGATGCCCTCGGGTTCACAGTGCAGAGGCAACAGCTCTGCAGGGCACCAGGGCAGCACAAACGAAAGGCTCTGGACATGCAGAGCGACGCCGTCCCTTTGCTCGTCTCCCTGGCTGGGGTCCTCCGAGGATACCTGCATGGATGAGGTGTAATGAAAGAGCATCCAGGAAAATCAGTTAATTGACCTCCAGTTGTTCAGTGCTTGCTGGGGGATCAGGAGAACAATCCCAGGATGTCTCCTGTGGTTTGCCAGCATCATTTGCGAGGAGGTGGTTGAAGAGAGATGTAACTGTGAAATAGGAACACTGCTCTAAAACCATCAGAAAAAGATCAACAGCGAGAAAATTTTGGAAACAGCTGTTTCCCAAGACCTTTCTGTAAAGCATTTGAAGTCTAAACACACCAAAACACTCTCAGAAGTTGAAACCCTGCAGGTTGAAAGATACTAATGAGTCCCAGAAGTGAGCAAGCCCTGCTGGCGGGAGGGCGAGGAGCTGTGTAACTGCACTCCCCCTTGTTCCTTGACAGGCTGGAGGGCTATCGTTCCCTCCTTAACCTTCAGCCTGGGGAGAAATATGAGCAGAGAGCGCTACGAGCTCCTCCTCAGGAGGATGTTGAAGGCCAGCCAGAAATCACACTTGGCTCTGAACTGCCGTGGCACCTTGTTGCTATCTATTTGCCAGCAGTGTGAGAAGGAAGACGACAGCACTAAAAGTGTCGTACCTACATTTTAGTGTCCATTTTCTGCTCCCAGCCTCTCCCCACTGTTTCCCACGGGGAAATTCACACCTAGCTCTGACCCCCGGGAGGCAGCTGTGTTACGAAGCTTCCTTTCTCTAAAAGATTTTTTAGAAAGCTTTTCTAACATTATTTTTAAGGGACTAATCAAAGGTGGCTTGATCTCTTCTTGTGAACATCCTTCTGAATTATCCCCCCCTTTATTTCCTTAATTATCAAGCACGGCATCATTATAACGTCTTGGGAAACAAGTCGAACACTGTATGAGAGCTCCCAGAGCTTGACAGCAGGATTTTATATCCATTAAGTTGGAAACAGTTCTTATCAAAATGGGAAATATGATGTTTATCTCCTAGTCGTGTGTGCTGAATATCTGTATCACCCTGAGACCGCAGCGCAGCACTTCCATCGTTTCTCAGCACACTTGTTGACAATGCCACTGCGTTTAAAGGGCAAATCCCAGGCTTTCAGCTTCTAAATTCAGGTGGAGTTGAGGGACAGTTGTGATTCGGCATGCATTTAACCAGCCTCCTCACAGTATTTATTCAGGTACGAAGTTATCCCAAAGATGCCACCCAGAGTCTCTGGAATACAAATGACACACGTACCCCATCTGACTGATACAGACTTTCTTTTTCCTTGTGTTTCCAGAGGAAATTTAGACCACCAGGGCTCTGAATTCAGATCAAAGCACTGGGTAGAGGTGAGAGTGGGGAAAAAAAGGGGGTTAGGGTGTGAAAAATCACCCTTATGAGATGAATAATTCCAGGGGGGAGAGACAAAGGAATAAAGTGAATAGGCAACAATTTCTCAAACAGTCTCCAAACGCTTCTCAAGTACGTGATGAAGAGCCAGTCAGCATGGCAGCAGGACAGACAGATGCTCATGTGTCTTACCAGCAGGATTTTAATTATTAACTCAGGCTGACAATTCATACTGAGGTGTTGGAGGAGAGCGTGCATCACTCTGAGAAGGGGAGAAGCTTAACACAGGACTTTGAGCACAGCCTGGATGGTCAGGAGGCAGCTTCCAGCAGCTCACCTTACTCAACGGCCAGATGGACAAAAAAAAAAGAGAGAGAGATAAGAGGAATAGACCAGAGGAGGAGGACCAGCAGTCTGCAGAGTGGGCTAGCCACACGTCCCACCAAGCACAGTGACACAGAGCAGTACAGAGCTCTCTGACAGCATTTCTCCCAGATGCTGGCATGCTCAGACCCGAGCAGGGACAGCCAGCGAGGCAGCACTGCCAGAAGCCTCTCCTAGCACGTCCCCATCTCACTGCCGGTGCTGAGATGCAACCTTTCAAATCCAGCCTGCTGTATCTCTTGCCTGCTCGCTGGCAAAGCGCTTACAGCCAAGCTAACATATGCTAACACCCAGGGAGGCCTTTCCAGCAGCAAGGGAAGTGCTTTCTTAGCCACTTGCGCAGATCTATTTGTGTCTGTCCACCTAATGAAATTCTGCCGTGCCATGTTTCACACTCCTTATTCCTGCTAAGAAAAGATCACAGAATAAAAAATGACAGGGTAGAAAAGTAGAAATCAGGCCAGCTGAGCTCTTCAAGAAGTAGAGAACAGATTCACAGAGCAGGGATGAACATTTTCCCTTTGGATTACAAGAATTCAGAGTAGTTATAACCACCCTGAGCACAGCCGGCCAGAACAGCCTGCCTCAGGGTTTCCTTGGCCAGGAGAGAGCGAGAGCTGCAGGAGGAGCCTGGAGGACAGAGGAGCACTTCAGGAATTGTCATGAAAGACAGGAGAAAGTAGAGGAAGGCAGAGATAGAGATGACCCAGAGAAGGAAAGGGGCAGTGGAGGAGCAGTTGCTTGGTAAAGGAAGGCAAAGAGCAAGCCCCCCTAAGTGCTGTTCAACAACTGTGTGCCTACAGCCCATATTCTGTGGATGACACAGTTTGTAACAGTCTCTTAACCCCTGTGCTGCCTTGTCTATGGGCTGAGAGAGGCCCTTATCTCCCAGACCCCACAGCTGCAGTGTCCCTGGTTTCTGTTTATTCAATCAGCCAGGCACAAAAACCTCAGCCCAGCGCTGCCTGGCATCCCCCTGCCTGCATCCTGCACTCTCACCGGGGAATTTGGATAGAGGCATCACAGCAGAGAGAATTACTTGCAATAAGTGCACCTAACCATCATAATTTCCTCATTTTCTCATTCTCCAGGCACATCTCAAACTTGTTGCAGCAGAAACCCTTGGGTCCTTTCTCCCTTTTCTCACCCCACCTGAGTTATCCATCCCCTGTCTCAGTCTGGGCTGTCACCGCCAGCCGCCGAGGTAACAAACTCCATTCTTTCCAGCTCGGTGCCCTCTCTGCATTTTGTCATTATAAATCAGCCAGCTGCTGACAGATCTCCCCGGCAGGCTGTCCTTGTCAGGAGCATCACGGGGCGAGCAGGAAAGCAGCTCTCCCCCTCCCTCAGCTCCCTCCCACAGCCCCACCAGGGATCCCGGAGCAAACAGCACCCAAAAACCTCCCTCAGAACTACCAGCCCCTTGAGGGACTTGCACAGGAACACAGCAAGCGTGAAAACACGTGTCTGAAACACTCCCCATGGAGTCTAGTAGGTAGCGAGTTAGCATTCACCTCACCAGCTCCATCAGCATCGCTCCAAAGCTCTTCTAATATCCTGAATCCACCTGCTTACTGCCAGCCTCATTACAAACTTTGACTTCCCAAGAAGCCAGAGCCCCAAGGGCACCAAGGTACCTGCTGCTCCAAGTGCCCCCAACCCCAGCTGATACTCGCCCCCCTCCCAGAGCCTGCTCTACATGTTCCCAGCCGAGCCCAGGTGTCCTCCTGGGGCCTGATCCCAGGGCTGATTCGATCAATGAGACCCTACAGATGTCAGCTGGCGTTGGGTCAGGTTTCCAGAGATGCAGCAGGAGAGCAATACTGCCCACGTCTAGCCAGCCTGCGAAACCTCACGCTGTCCTACAGAAAGTTTAACTCCTGCTCCAAGTGCATCTTTCCTTCTTATGTGGAAATGAGGTTTTGTTTTGTCATTGCGAAGACAGAAATACCTTCAGATACAGGGAAGGGGGAGGAAAAGCAGCACCGTGATTTTTTCCTTACAAGGCAGCCTTTTTAAATGGAAGTAACACATGAAGAATAGAGGCAAGGCTGTAAAGGATTTTACCACCAAACCAACATAAGTAATCTTTGGTTTTGTTCCACCCCCGAGGTGTCACTAAAGCAGCAGTGTGACATTTTCATTGCAGCTCTAGAGAGAGGTCCACTGAGTCGGTAACGGTCCCTCCTGAAACCCGGCCCTACCAAAAGGGTCCCCATCACAGGGGACATCCTGCAGGCTAAGTAAAGCTTCATCACGTGCTGGCTTTGCTGAAACAAACGCCAGCACAGAGCAAGGTTACGAGATGAAGCTCCTCTGGGGTGGAGAAGGTGAAGTTTGTGAGGCCGTTTGAATTGCAGAACAGCAATCAGCCGACACAGGGCAGGTCGGGATTAGTGAACGCAAATATCAGCTGGATGGGAGCAAACACTGGCTGCCAGGGAAGCTCCCAGAGCAGTTTTTCAAGCCAATGTTTTCCCTCAGAAGGGAGCTTTAAAATAGTTAGATAAGCTTCTTTTTTTTCCTTGGTCACAGCCAAGACCAAGATCATCTCAGGCTGAGCTTCCAGCCCCTGAGTAATTGCTGTTTTGGGCGAGAGCTCCCGCGAAGTTCCTAAAGATAGTCGTGAGGGGAAACAGAGATTAATTGAGGAATTAAGAAATTACATTTTCTTATCTGCAAAGGATTTGTAACGTCACTCACAACTCGCTGTAGGGCTAATGAAAAACACAGCGCGGTTCCAATTATGACTGCAACTTAGATGTATGACCTGGGAATTTAGGCCAGATGTGGAGTGCTCTGAACTGAACCCACAGCCCATAATCGCTCGTAGTCTGCTAAGCTGCAGCAACACTTCGTACTTCATTGCTTGCAGCCCAGGCTCAGTTTAGGGCTTGCCTCTCATTTTTATTATTTCTGACTTAGTCCTCGACAAGCAGGCAGCAATACTTAGCTTATTTCAGCCTTCAGGAGCTTCACGGGTATTAACTCACAACACCCCTGGACATGGACTTATCCCAGCCACTTATTGCTATTTGTTTTTCTACAAAAACCCAGGCACTTACCCCCGGAGCTCCTACTCACCTTTGAGAGCCCTCCCACTTCTAAGTAAAAACAGATGATGAAGATGTTCCAGGTGACCCAAACTGCAGTCCAGATGGCATACTAGAAGGGAACAGGACGGGGAGAGAGAAGCAATAAACATGAGGAAGTCACTGGAATTACTTTATATGTATGTGATCCAGCTGGGGACAGTGAAATGCACTGAGTCAGCACCGTAACAATTTTCTTTCCCTCTGTTTCTCATGTGCAGAAGGTCCCTTGCCTAATTAGAGACAAAGGGGCAGAGTCTTGGAGGGACTGGAAGAGCTTCTGCTATGTCCAAGATCTCTTTCTCCCTCTCTTTTGTGTGGTGTCCTGGCATTACTTTGGTGCCAGTACTAAATATCTGAAGTCTTCCAAGTCTGGAGTAAGCACACAAGTGCAGCACACCAAACAACGTGTTCCTTAGCACAGCCAGGCACCTCCTGCTAAAATTGTTTGCAGTGCTCGTGCCTGATTTCCCAAGGGCTTTCCTCAGTGCCTCATCGCTTGCTGCATCCCAGAACAAAGGCTATGAAGGGCCTTGAAAGGCTCTGAACAAAGCGGATGTTACTTACCACCACTATGTAACGAGGTCTGTACTGAATAGTGCCAAACAGGCCAAGGATAACGATGATGATGTGGAGGAAGTTGGCTAGGATGGGGGCCCACTGGTATCCCAGGAAATCAAACACCTGCCTCTCTAACGCCGCAAGCTGGAAAGGAGAAGAACAAGGAGAGTTACAGCCTCTGGACTCACGATGTCCCTTGTCAAGGTCTTGACACACTCCCTGAGCACATCCCTGCAGCAGCTGGAGTGGTGACTCCCACCCCAAAGCAATTTGCTGCCCATGAACCAGGTCAGTAGGACAGGACGTGTGTGCACAACCGCCCTTCTTTGCACCTCTCCTTCCCCCTCCGACGGCTGAGCTGGTGAGGAGCAGGGAGCTCCAGTGCCTACGTGGGGCATGGCCTCTCTGTGCGCTTTGCCACGGGGAGGCTGCCCTGGCAGAGGGGAGAGGTGAGAGCAAGACAGCAGCGCCTTAAACGGCTGCAGCAGGACGTCCAAGAACTCATTTATCAGAGCCGTCAGCATCACTCCATCATTCCTGACACCTCTCAGCTTTCTGCTCTCCAGCACGCATCCATCAAGGTGAGAGGGAGGAGGGAATTCTCTCCTCTGCCTTCCCCCAGCAGAAAATGCTGCCACCCAGCAAAGAAATTCTGCAAACACATCAGCTTTTTGGAGGACACAGCGTTCCTCTCCAGCACTAATAGCCTGGTTCAAGGCTAGGTCTACGTCCTGGAAATAAAACTCCATTACTGTTGAGGTGCTTGGTCTGATTTTCAAACCATATTTGCATAAAGATGTGCTTTTCTTCTGTAACCATTGTATCGGGCAAGGAACTGTTCATCTGGATCCGAACAGCTGTTTTCGGCATGCAGCTGCAAGAGCAAAACAAACACACAACTGCACGCTGGCCTTTACGTCCCCGCAGCCCTTAAATATTAATGAGGGAAACAGTGAGTGGAGGGGGAAAAATGGTTCCTGCAGGTTTGTCCAGTGGATTTCAAAGAATATTTTTTCCTGTGAATTTCAAACGTGTGTTTCATTAGCGTAGTGCGCTGCAATTACGTTATGACATTTCATATTTATTTTCACTTAAATAAATCATTACAATTTACCATCGATAGTCAATTTAACTACTAATTAGACATTAAGCTTGGATGATCTTAGTCTACTATGTGTAATCAGCTATGAAACGTGAACCAATTTTTTCCTGGCTTGGCTTTTAGATGATGGCAGGTGGGGGCCAAGCACTGGGGCTTTTGTAATGGTTTAAGGCATTTAAGGATTCGAGTGGCTGCAGGACCCAGCCTAGGCACGCAATGAGGGAAGCCACATCTACCAACTGACCACTGTTCCTCCTTCTTCCCAAATAGTGGGGAAACAAACTTTGCATTTCTTCTGGGCTGTGAAGCTATTGCAGTTCTGAACATTATCTTGGAAGTTCAACACAAATTTCTTTTTCAAAGAACTCTGTGTCAGGGCCATCAGTCCTGGGCAAGGGGGATCGGTCAGTGTGGCAGTGAGAGCTTTCCCCCACTGACATCTCTCCTCACCAGCAAAGGGGCGCAGGAGCCTGGGGAGGGAACGGAGGCAGTCTCCTGAGCCTTCTGCAAAACAATCATCTTCCCTTTGAAGCAAGAGGCTCATTCTGATCAGTTTGAGGATCCTGTAGGATGCTGCGGGCAGACCAGGGCAGGCGCTGCCCCATCTCCCCCAGCACAGATTGTCTCCAGCTCGTCTGGAGCAGCAGGAACAGGTTAACCACTTAACCTTTCAGGAGGGGATTACTGCACATACCTTAACGATATTTGGGGCGTTGGGGTTCTGACTGGCTGGCAGCAGGCCGCTTGTCCGTGAGCACCTCATCCAATCAGGCATTAATTAGCTTTGTGCAGTGTGCTGGTGCAGCAGCGTGTGCTGCCTGGAGCTGGCACGGCGCTGCCTGGGTTGGCTGCAGGGACATGCGGGGCTGTGCCCTGCAGAGATAACATCCCCCTGCTGCTGGGTGCACCAGCGCTGAGCCTCACCTCCTGCCTTCAGCCCCCAAAAAGGGGATAAGGATAAATCCTTCCTACCCATGCTGCCTGCCTGGGGTTCTTGCACTCCAGATTCACGGCATCCATCTCTAGAGAAGTGTTTTCTTCTTTCCATTAGGGATGTGTAAAAGGGGACAACATCTTGATGTTTCCTGGCTTGTTTGGACCAGGGAAAACATTGCTCTGTGACCTGAGACCCAACTGCCCTGGAGATGTCTGATTTAGCTGTGTCCCTGCAATCAGTGTGAGCAGAGCTCCTGCAGGACGTGCCAAGCCCAGCTGACTTGGTGTTGTGGTGCAAATCGTGGAGAGGTCACTGGCCCACTGGCTCTGTGTCATACTTCCCTTCTCCTTACTGTGACTGCCCTCATCTCCAAGTTGTTTCCGTCCCAATTTACCTTCCTTTGCTCCTTACCCTGCATTTTTAAGTGTTTTTGTGTGCCTGGGAGCTGCAGAGGGTTCAGCTGGTGCAGTGAGCTGCTGTGCCCATCGGTTTGGCTAAGGGGAGCGGGAGCTGGGTCGTACACTTCTGGGGGATGTGAGCGCTGAGGCAAGCTGCTTCCTCATTTATACAAAAGCAATTTTCTGTATTGATGACAAGCTCAAACGTTACTGGTGAAACTCAGCTCTGTGTTACTGACATAGTGAGCCCGAGCTGAAACCCAGCTGCCAGAAAAGCAGCCCAAAGTTACCCTGGGCTTGTCCCTGTCCCCTTAGGAATCTGGGATAATTAAGAAAACATTTGCTAAAACCCAACCAAGAAGCATGCCACTCATTACACTGCAGTTCTGTGTGCAGAGCACACCCATTAAACACTGCTGAGATCTGCAGGTAAACAGGGCTGAGGTTTGTGCTGGGCTGCCCTCAGTCTGGGGCTGGAAACAAAGCAGCAGATGCAGGGAATGTGGCTGGAGCCTTCATGCCTGCTTCCCTCAGCCTGGGCAGAATCAGCAGGGCCAGGGTTTGCCCCCCTGATGTGTACAGATGAACCGGCACCCCTCGACGGAGCCCCTCTTGGATCCTCGTGCTGAGCAGGGGAAATGCCGGCTTTCGCTACTGCTGCCAAGGCTCTGCAGGGTCATTTCCTCGCTGCAACGTTCTCTATGATGATTCACACTATTCCGCTGAGAAACCCTGGTATAATCTGGAGATATTTGTTGTAAGGAGAAATTTCGCAGATTGGGGAACAGGTTTCAAGCCATTCAAAGCTGACAGGACCTTTCCATCAGGGAGAACAAATTTTTCTCCTTTATGAGTGTTCTTATTAAAAATAGTATTCCTTCTGCTCTTTTTGCTTTCCTAGACTGCGAGACATTTTTACCTTTCACTCCTTAAATTAAATTACGTGTTGCGGTACTAAAATCAGAATAGCGGCAGACTTTCTTCTGCTGAAACAAACCACATTTCTGCTGATCCGAGTGAAACTGGAACAGCAAATAAGCACGTGAAGCAACTGTTAGCCATGCAAACAAAACAAGCTCAAGCTCTCCGCCAGGCTATCGCTCATTTATACAGCTGGGAAAGATAAGAAAGGCAGAGAAGACGTTCTGCAGCTTACAGAGAGTCCTATATCGAGGCTCGCACACAGAGAGGGGCATTGTGAGCCAGCAGGATGGGACGTGCTCAAGGGCTTTGCACCGTTAAAGCCTCACCAGAGAGGAGATGCTGTCCCCGAGCTGCAGGGGAGCATCGCCTGATGGACCCTCCTGCAGAATAGGAATGTGGCCCTAAAAAACATCTCTGAATGTGGAACAGTTTCTTGTCGGAGGGTTCAAACCATCCCAGCTGTGTTTGTGATGGCTCTGGCAGCACAGTGTCACTGGCAGATGTTGCTGCCTGCAGGACGCTCTGGGGTGATTTAACGTGGGCTGGGGGGTACTTGTTGAAATTTTGGCCCTCCCAGTCTTTCTGATCACCTCCTCTTTGTTTCATCTGTTGTTTCTGTCATGCTGGTTAGCTGGGGAGTCCAACCTTTTCCCCTTGTGCCTCCATACTGCTAAGGAAAAAGAGGTGTTGGTGAACAAATCAGTTACCATTATCCCTTAACTCCCTGTCCTTTACACTCTTCTATCAAGGCGATGCCATCAGCTCGATTTGCTCTCCTTGGTTTACTTAGACAGGGACAAGGCAAGTTTTTATGTACTGTCTTCATAATGGAAAGATTTCTTCCATGAATTCATCAAATCATCTCAGTTTCAGTTTTCTGTAGTGTTAGTGCATGACTGGAGACAAACCTTCCCAAAAGCCAGTGCTGTGTAGCCTTGGGAGTTTGTTTGAGGTTTGCCTTTTTATTGGGCCCATAGCTGTGGTTTGAGCTGGTCAGAAAATCTCTTCTTCCTCCAGAAAAGGTTTAGACTTTTCAGGAGCTGACTTTGAGGAGTGGTACCTGGTAGCTTCAGGTTTTGACAAGGCAGAATTTTCCCTAAAATCGGGAGACATTCCCTATACGAAATGTGAAAGCATGTTTTATCCAGAAACCCAGCCAATTTTCCACGAGGACAATAAAAAAGCCACTTTTAAACTTTTGTGCTTCCCATAACTCTCACCACAAGGACACAGCCTCATGGACCGCTCCAACTCTGCTCTGCCCTTGTTCAGAGGTGTACACAGCCACCCTGGATCTCTGCGTGTGGACCTACAATTTCAGCACAGACAGAATTGCGATGTAAGCCCCCAATATTTGCTCTCTTGCCAAGCTGAACTGCGAAAGTGCCTGAGCTGCACCCCTGGGCCAGCACCGCGCTCCTCGGATTTTCAGCCCTGCCTGGCTGAGTCCCGACTCGTTGACTCAGCTGCTGGGTCCCTGCCAAGCGGCCTTGCTTTTTAAGAAGATGCTCTTTGTTTGTCTGCTGTGCAAACACCACCGGGGCGGCCAAGACTTTCACTGAGAAAGGTCACGGGCCTTTTCTTGAGGAGGAAACTTGCGCTGATTTCCTGCGGTATTTTGGCCACGCGGTGGTTGATGGCTCGAGTTCAGGGCGAAGTCACAGCACTGCTGTCCCGATGAGACATCATATAACGATGAATGCTTGAGTCCAGCGAGCTGAGACAGCAGGAAGAAATTAAGAAAGTCTCAAATGTCTCATTTTAAAATGCATCTATTTGGGGT